GCATCTCGTAAGGGAAACTAGGATTTGCACATCAATGCCATTCGAACCATGATCCCATGGTGTTTTGCCTACGATAAGGTCAACTATGCCAGGTACCTGTCTGCATACTTTGCTCAGATGACAAATCTTCCAGAGACTAATCCTGATGTACAGAGAGCCTTTCAGGAAGGTAATTTTTCAGTGCAGATGTCCAGCAATAATCCCTTTGGGCGGATACCTATAGATCAGACAACTCAGGTTACAGTGAATAAAGACACTCAGACTCCTGGAGGCACGGCACGGTTCAGCCTAAAAGCAGGAGCCATCAGAAGGTACTACATAACAGCAGAGTACTGCAGCGCATTTCTTAGACACTTAAGAGACATGGTACATGGGAACCAATCGGAACTCAACCATGCTGATCTACAGCAGCCCAGAATCCAAAAAAGATGAGGAAACAGTATCGGCAGTCGTCGGCCTCATTCAAGCCTGGATCAACCCATTCTCAGAAAAGCAAGACCTCATAAGCATTTCTACTGCAAAATCGGCACCCAGAGACATAGCCTCTGACCTGATGAAGGCATGCGATATTGGAGAGCAGAGTTATGCCGCTTTCAAAAACGAGAGACTGGAGAACGATCCACCAGCAAAACCATTTCACGATCCGATGAAAACTAACAAGCTGAAAACATTCACTAATATGTGTAAGAAGAAGGTAGTGAAAACAAGTGGGAAGGAGATCATCTTGAAAGCTGATCGGTCTCTGTTTGGTCGCATCATAGTGATGGCACAAGGGCGCAATCTCAAGATGGAGGACATCCTCTTTCACCCCCTGGGACAACTACCCTGGTCTCTCTCCACCCCAGACGGATTACTCAGGAAAACAAACAAAGCTGCCCTAGCCACATCTCTGCAGAAGAATGTGACAGTAGCAGACCAACTCCCACAAATTCTTCTTCGGTGGTCGATGGAATGAACCTAGTTCAAAGAATAAAGGGTGATCAAGCTACGTTTGGAGACATTGCCTCTACCATTCTGTCTATGGCATTAAGTGAGGAAAGTAAAAGTACCAGAATATATGTTGTGTTTGACACGTATCGAGAGAATTCTATCAAGAACAGTGAGAGATCGGCACGACGGGAAGAAACTGGGCACCAGCTGCAGGGTATCACAAGCACACAGATCGTGAGGCAATGGAGAAGTTTCCTGGCAGGCGTAAATAACAAAACAAGTCTGATTATCTTCATTGTCAGCGAATGCAGGAAGTCTGTGTATAGAGAGAAACTACATGAGAAAATTCTGTATGCAACTGTAGATGACAAATGCTACAAGATTACATCGCAGGGTAGTGAAGAGGTGCCAGATCTACAGTGCCAGCAGGAAGAAGCAGATGGACGCCTACTTTTCCGTGTCTTTATCATGTGTTTGGCATTCCATGACCAGATAGGAGCCCCGTTATTCCAGAAATGTGGAACAAGAACCAGAACTAGATTAGTTGACATAGGGAAAGTCGCTGTCACTGTCGTCATAGATGTCTGCAGAGCTCTTATTGGAATGCATTCATACACTGGTGATACTACCAGTGCTTTTGCAGGTAAAGGGAAGGCAAGTGCTCTAAAATTATATTGACCATCAACAGGGAAATTAGGAACACATTTGCGGAGTTGGGCCAGGAATGGGACCTTTCCTCAGAACTGATGAACAAACTAGAGTGTTTCACATGTCTCCTCTATGGTCCCAAAGCAGAATTCACCAAGGTCAATGATATCAGGTACCAATTGTTCTGTGTCAAGAAAGGTGAGATAGAGTCATTAGCTTCCACCCTGCAGGGACTGCTTAGTCAAACACGCACAAAGGGCAAACTACCAGGCTGGAATATGGAGAAGATGTCTTGAACAAGATCCAGGTGTACCAAGTCCCCTTGGCAGAGGGTGGAAAATTGAAATGGATGGAACTGAGCAATCAATGGTAGTGGATTGGATGGATGGTCAGCCAGCACCTGAGGCTATCTTGGCCCTACTGGCCTGCAAATGTCCAAGGAAGTGTACACTGCTAAATTGTGTCTGTCTGGCAAGTGCACTGATATGTGCAGACTGTCAGACTGCGATAATCGGTCACCAGATGATGGGGAAAGCACGGACGAGAACGACGATGTGGATGACGATGAACTGGACAGTAATGATGAGTATTAGACTCATCATGTACATTTCACTGTAGTTAGTTTGACACTTGTTATACAGCTGCCATTGTTGTCTGCTTGGATTTTGCATTATATTATAATGAAGGGCTTTTATTGGTTTAGGAATGAATAAAGAATCTTTGACTAGTTGAAATAATAGACACAAAGGTTAGTGTTCTAAACTGCTATACCGAGCTTGAAAACAGCAATTTTGAGTGGCCAATTCTTGCCATTTTAGGCCCGGCCATCTTGATATTATTTTCATCAAAATGCTGTGTCAAATGTTCTTAAGGTAAAAGACAGAAGATGAATCTACGACTCATAATACCTGGTCATTAGACACCCAAATCACTGTCCTAGCTGCGTTCAGAACACTGATGTATAGCCTTAATTAGAATTTTTGGTGGCGCATTTTGGAAAAGGTAGATAGACTCACAGTATAAGCTGCCACTCCACAATGCTATCACACGTTTCTAACTCTAGGGGTGTATACCTTCCAAAAATCATATAAGCATTCTCCCCCTGATTTGATACCGGTGACGCAAAATTTTGGAACCGGGCTGCATGGACTAACAGATGTCTGCATTGTCTATCAGACTGATTGTCTGATGGTCTTCTAACCCTAAGCAAGATCCGTTTTCGTGGAGCCAGCAAGCGTAACGTTTTTATATAACTTGCACAATAAATGTTTAACTATATGTTAATTCGGGTGGCATCTCCGGCAGCCCATGTTTATAATGTTAACTCGGGTTATTCCACAGCAACGGCCAGCGATGGTACACAAATTATGAAAAATTGCTCTAAACAGCTTACCCTGAACAGAATCTACTTGTCCTCCGTTGGGAAAATGGACAAATAACGGACAAAACGGAATTAGCCTCTTATTTCGAACCACTGGAGGGTATCAGGAACCTCTGCGAAGAAATGTTCGTGGTGGGATCTGTTAATGAAAGTGTGCCGAACGAGGATGGCGCGTACGTTTGCATGTCTTTAAAGATTAAGATGGAAGCTGGAAGCTTCCATCGTACGTAAGTAATAAGCAACAACTATTTGCGAAGACAGAGATAGGTAAGCACTCATCCATTTACCTACGGCAAGCCTACCGGCTGAAAATAGAGAGCTGCCACGCTGTTAACTAATTAACGCAGGCAAAAAATTACAGCCATACTATCAAACCAGGGACCAACATGCAACTGGCAGTGCCACTGCAAGTGGCTAATAAAGTTACATGTAACGCCACTGACAGTACAGGAATGCCATAGAAATTATACGATTTAAAGGGTATAAACCTTTCTTCAGAAGCAAATTAGCTTTTGAAATTTCACTGTGACATTAGTAGCCTCATAACATCACAGGCAATGTATATTTCTACTAGCAAACGCCGGCAGTCAAATCTTCTCTAGGCAGTAAAACCAAGATCCATGTTAACCGACTCCTCTTGAAGGGTCAAAAGGTTATCGAGACCCTTACTCTTCGCACGTCAGTGGAAAGCACAAATTTTCATGGTCCTGTTCAATAAAGCCATAAAAATGGTAAGGTCACCGCTGAAAGACCGAAAAAAAAGTTTTTAATTCAATCGTCTCCGTCAGCACCAGGCCCATGTCCTCAGAAAAATGTCTAAAATCGTGGCCCTGGTGGCCCCATTTAGCCTTTGAGCCTGTGACTCTCGCAATATCGGCACAGTGATGGCTTTTCCTACCATGATGCTATACACCGACTATCACGAGCCTAGGGTCCGAGCCTTAGATTTGTGAGGCCGCAATTACTGCAATTTTCTCGCCTAAAGGCCTATTCCTACACGAATGCGTTTTGGACGTACGTTCCTAAGACGTACGTCAGACGCACACGTCCAAAAACAGCACCGTGTAAACTATGCGGTAACGACACTAATTTTATGACCGTTTGCGATATCGGATGCACAGGACGCAAATGTTCTAATTTCTTTCGCGACACTCGTAAACCAGGACGCAAGAACCCGACCAATCAGGTGGGCGAGATTGGGATCACTGCTTGGGGATCACGAGCTGGTCCACGTGCTCTATCACGGATGAAACATGTGTTTGTATCGACGATGAAATCATAACTATGGATATTCCACAATCTACGCATAAAAGTAGTGTGCCGTGTGCGTGCCGTTGTATGTGTGTGCGTGCGGTCAGAGATGTTGGTTGCATCGTGTGTGTGTCGGTGTGTGTGGATGAGTGTGTGTGTGTGTGTTGTTGTGTGTGTATGCTGATGATGTGTGTGTGTGTGGGTGTTGTGACGAGACGCGTGTGTGTGTGTGGTCTGTGTGTGTGTGGTAAAATCTGTGTGCCGCGCGCGATAGGTGTGTGTGTGTGTTGAGCCTTTGACCTTTGACGCCCCAGGCTTGAAATCCCAACTCGTTTTCGATTTCCGGCCCGCCACGCCCCCAACGTACCCGAATATCGTGACCGTGTTAAACGTCGAGCGACTGTTAAGATGTGTGTGCCAGCCAACACTTTTGACGGACGGACGGACAGACGGCACGTACGGACGGAACGCACCGCACAGAACCAAAGAAACAAGATCAAGAGCGATTCTGTGGACAACAAGAGCTGAGCATCTGGACATAGCATGATCAGATGAGCCTAAAAATAGAAAATCTGGTGATATGTTTTGGCCAGTCCTCATTCCAGACAATTCCATACCAGCAAATACGAAGGCAAATAGCAAGGACGCCATTGATGAACTCAACTGACTTATGGCCATTTCCATTTTTTCCTAAAAGTGAGGACTTGCTCGAATGTAAGGTCGACTGGCGTGGCTCCAAAATAGGAGACGTTATCAAAACCATCTCCCATAGAAGTTGACAAGGAAGAAACTATGAGAGAGGGAGGAATCAATTTTGGAAACCATGTGGGTGAAGCGGTTGTATTAAAAGGAGTTATAGTTGACAGTGAGCCAAATGTTGACACTGGGACGGAAACGGACGGATGTACGAACGGACGAACGCACGGAGAGGCCAGTGGCAAAGGCGTCAGTCTTGACGATGTCAAGGAGCGAGCTAAAAAGTCACGATGTTGCACTGAAGCCGGTTTGCCACAAAGCCAGGCCTTCTCACAGAAAGAAATCGACAGGCCCTAGGTGAGGCCCATGCACACAACTAAAAGCCGATCTGAAGAGATTGTTATGGAATAGAGTCGCTTATCAACTATTCAAGAAGCGTAATTACATTCGTCCATCGCGGTGGTATTCTCTTGCACTGATTTTAGCTCTCAAGAGCGCGCCTAATATATATACTAGTGACTTATTCCAGGTGATTATATTCCAGGTGACTGGGAGGGGGGCAACGGGCAGATAGCTAGTTTCGTGTTTTACGAGCATAATAACGCTCGGATCTACGGCTTTTTTAATAGCGTGTCTATATTGGCTTAGCCAACCGAGAGATCGAGGCGATTACGAAAATAAGCCATAGATGAATGGATGGAAAGCGGGAGAGGCCGGCTAACACACCATGCGATAAACTAAATAAGGGACGATAAAGACGTTCCCGAAAGGGTGGTTAGCGGTCGGTGCACAGATGTAACATGTCGTGCAATCGCAAGCCAATCCGCCGGTGATAATAATAACATTCTGCAGCGGATAGAAATTATAGCAGCAAGCTGCTTCACGAGCGGGAGCAGGGAAATTCTTTATATCAGGGCAGGCTGCTGGCTGCTGAATGATGACGGTGATGATGACGGTGATGATGATGACTTGCTGCTCGGCCCTTCAATAGGGCGGATTCACTGCTGCCTGTCCCGAGCTGCTTCTGATACTGGCTGCTGCCGCTGCTTTCTGATACTGCTCGCTGGCTGGCTACGCTGCGCTGTCCTGCTGCTGCTGCTTGAATACTGACTTGAACAGCTGGGCTAACTGCTGAGCCTGCTACTCTACTAGCTACTGAGCTGCTACGTATGCTACTACTAGCTCATATCTGACGTGCTGCTGCGCTGCTAGCTGCTACCGTTGTGGCTGCTAAGACAAGCGCTACTCTCCTACTGCTAGCTGCCTGCTCTGCTGCTGTTGTACTGCTTGCTGCTGTAGTTGCTACTGCTCAAGCTGCTACGTACGGCTGGGACTGCTACGTGGCGGAAGCTGCCGCTGCTGCTGCCAGCCAGGGAGCTGGACTATAGATCTGATGAATGAAAAAGTGATGATGACAATGAGGAAGGAGGCAGAGAGAGGTACAGACGAGGAAGAAGGAGGAAGGGATGTGCTTTGGCTGCTTCTGCTAACTAAGCTAAGCGTGGCGAGAGCTGGTTGTCTTGGGGCTGCTACTCCGGCTGTCGCCCGCGGGCGCTGGCGTGAGGGTGGTTGACTTCTGCTGACTAGGAGATGGCTCTGCCATAGCTAGTATGAGCAGCGACTAGCTGTTCTACTATTACTTACTGGCTACTATTGTCCGT